ATCATGGAAGAATTATTTAACAAATAAAAAGAATAAAAAAAATCATATTCTTGCAAGAGAAATTCCTTAAGTTGCTCAATAAGGAGAGCTTGTGAGCTAATGGAAGACATCATTTTATTTATTATTATTTTAAAAAACAGAAGCTATTATTACTATTAAAATTTGGAAGTAACAATCAATTCAACGCTAATGTAACGGTAGGACAGAATCTTGGAAACCCATTTCGAGGAGGTGTCTCCAGCTGAGCCTAGCTTAATTATGTGGTTTTACTAATTAATTAAGCATCACTTTTTTACTTATAAAAATTTAATATAAATAAAGCTTCAATCATACCTTACAACCTTTCATGTTCATTTGATATTCCATCTAGTTAAATTATGTTTGGGATCATAAGATTAGTGGCTTGGAATTGAAATGGGAATTTTTTTTATTCAAACCTTAAAATAAATTTGTCTAAATTTAATGTGCGAGTTCTATAATTTCAAGCGTGTATCAATTGATGCAAAATTCTAAATGGGGGATATAGGGGGATCCTACTAAAAATGTATTAATTAATTTATGGACATTTACACGTGGAATAATTCTATTTTTTAATTGGACGGCAGGCTAAATGACCTTAATGGAAGTTGCCTTTTTAATTCATGAAATTTATCCCGCCTGTGTGTAAAAAATACAAAAAGAAGCTATGTGTTTTTATTAGGGTCAAGTGCAAAAAAATCGAATGCTTATAGTGCATATTGCACCTCACGGACAAAAAACACCTAAATTACGTTATTTGTGCAAATAGTTCTTTCTTACACATTTATGATATAATAATTAGACTATGGTGCCCTTAGCAACACATTTTATAATATGTATACAAAAACAATATTTTGTGAAATGACTAAAAAGGGTTTAGCCCTTCTTCTTTGAATCGCTTTGGCCTTCTTCTTCTTAGTCTTGATGGTTGCCGCCATAGAAAGGGAAGGGAAGACTGGAGAATTTCAGTGACCTATCATTTTCGGTGATTTGTAGACCCGACAGTGAACAAGAACACCAAGTTGTCAAGACCTACTACGGTGACGGCGCACCCAGTTCAAGTGTCCACTAAAACAGACGAGTTCGGTCTGTTTGGTGCACTCCTCTCCGGCAACGTTTCATGAAACGAGCAGACCCATTTCATTGAGATACAGTCCGGTGAGCTACGAGAATTGTTGACTCTAGTTCGGCTTCATAGAGCAGCTTGGTCACTACCGTTGGGCAGTTGATGCTCGGTCTCTGAACAATAGATTCCATTAGTTCTGACGACGGCGAGATTCCATCTGTTCATACCAACTTGCAGCGAGGAACCAAGAGACCAAGAAGCTCAAGATAGACATAGTAAAAACGTCATCATTGTGCTTCATCAAACACCCTGCAACGAGCTTCTAATGTATACGTCCGGCGTGTTCCAGTTCATCTTCGGCGACGACGAATAGTATAGCGACGTGTATCTCCGGCGACAACAAATAGTATAGCGAGCTCTACGACAGTTCATGCACGCAGACCCAGTTCATCACCAGCGCATCTGCGACGACGAACGACAGGACTGAACTGATCCAGTTCCGGCAAGAGTTTGTTCGGAAGCTTAACGATCATCCACGTACAAGCTTCGGCAACGTCTTTGACCCACCTTTGCGAAACCAGATTCCATCTTTCTCAAGCTTCGAACATAAGCTTTCATTCTTTCCGGTGAAGCTGGGAACCTAGTTCATATTGGCGTGTTCCCAAGCGACGACAAAGCAACGGTGAGCTCCTAGTGTCTACGAAACCAAACTCAGTTCGTGGTTAAATTCGGTGATGGCTAAAACAACAGCAATTAAACTGCACTCACCGGCGAAAAAGCGCAACGGCGACGGGTTGCGGCATTCCACTGCTACGTTACGGTCGCGACAGTGGTGCGGCACTCCACTACAATGAAAAAGGCTTCAATCTCACAAACTTAGCTTTGGTCAACGTAGAATCGTGCAAGTCTTGGAGCTCTGTTGTTTCACCGTCACCGGAGCTCTGTTGTGTCATCGGCACCGTCACTATCGTTTCAGTTTTAGGGGCTCACTGTTGGGTTTTTACAGTGGGTTTCGCCGAAAAGGAATGCACCGAAACTAAAATGGGTTTTGCACATTGGTGATGGTTTTGTGAGTGGAGAGTAAGGTTTAGTATGGGCATTTTGGAAAAAGTAAAAGGGTAAAATGGATATTATGGTATTAATTTATGTCAAATTTTTTTATTGAGTTGTGTTTTTGCAAAAAGAATATGAGTGTTTTTACACACTTTTTAAAATATGGATAAAAGTGTTACAAAAAAAATATTTCAATATTTTTTGCACTTCATCCATCTTCATTACCTGTTTTATATATGAAAAATACAGATAAGAAACTGATATGATACATTTTTATTAGGTGGACATACCAGTGACATCATATAGCACTCAGTATCTTCTGTTACATGTCTTAAGACATCTCTTCTCATTTCAAAATACAAATTGAAAGGTTCAAGTCTTGCGAGAATATTATGAAAGTTCTTTATTAAAACAAGAGTAGTGATACTGAATATTTTTTAATTGGTTATTTATATCAAATATAACTAAGTGGAGGACTTCACTTTCCTATTTGTTGAATAATTGACCAATTAAAATAATAGGTCTAGCAATTCACTGCAACTATTCAATACAAGAATCATTTTCCTTAAAACAACAATAATAATAATAATAAATAATGCAATTTAAAAGTTTCAAATAATAAAAAAAAATATGAAATCTTTTTAGGAATATATAAGTGCGTTAATTTTTTGCCAATAAAAAAAATTAAAAATTAAAAAAACAAAATTATGAACCATCTTGACAAACACAAGTTTCAAACTTCTTTCAAATTCGTGTTCCAACTTCCATCCGAGTCGCCTTATGGAGGAAGTAAATAGAATTAATAAACAAATAATGGAGATAAGAATGTCATTAAATGTTCCCTAACATGGTTTATGGCCCAAACTATTTTTTATATATAAGTGGTCCACTTACACGACGACAAGTCTGGTACGGTCCATAAGATCTCTGACAAGCCTTGAACCTGGGCACCGTCAAGTCGTAACTGGACTAACTTCAAGCCCTCCGGCAAACAAATTGTTTTTTTTTTTTTCAACTTTTGAAATCAACAAGGCAAAAGTGTGAAAAAACTCTTGAAGCATTACTAAAATTATAAATACCTTCCTGAACTATCAAACATTGCAAATGGAACCCTACGGTGTAAAAAGGGTTGCAAAAAGGATCATCTTTTCGGTCAACCAGAGATTCAAAATTATCAAAATACTCCCACTTATTAATTTATATAAAAATTATAAAATATTATAAATGTACAATACCCATAATACCCTTCAGGGGCCATATTGCAGCTAACCAATAGTTCGGAATTATTTTTGCAATTTTACCTAATAACAATAAACCATATCAATAATAATAATATTAATAATAACTAATAATATTAGTAGTAGTAATACTAATACTAATACGAATACTAATAATAATAATAAATTGCTTAGTTGTAAGATATGTGAATCACTTTTAGTCCCTGCTAAGTAAAAATTTAACAATAAGAATAATAATAACTAATAATAGTACAAGTAGTGGTAGTAGTAATAATAATAATAATAATTTATAATAATAACAAAAATAAATTTCTTGATGGATCCATATACCTATAAATAATTTTTGCAAGTTAATAAATTATATAAAAAAAACAAATAAATAAATTAAGAAAATGATGATAGTAAACATATATGTACACAGCGACTAAGTTTTTCATAAAATCATTTTAATCAAAACTTTTCCCCAAAATCCCTTTTTCATTTATTTTAAATCATTTTCCTTCATTCATACCCCATAATATGCATATATGTCTCATGCTTTCAATATTATGGAAATAAGGGATTTTCATACTACATAAATAAGCATGCTTTACAAGAATTTCTAAGATGATTACACATGCTATCATTTATCATTTCTAGCAAATTAACAACACAATAAAGCATAAAAAATCAACACTTAGGCATGCTTTTCATACACATCAACTAATACACATAATCATGAACTTTATACACCACAATTAAATCATCTTAGAGGTAATTAACACCAATTAAACATATTAACAACAATTAATAAGGAATTGACTCACAAAGGCACAAGAAAACATGAATTAGAGACCCCTACCCCAAAATATGCAAAACCCCCCAATTTGTGCCTTAGATTTCAAAATTTTAAGGTGTGCCAAACGAAGAATTGCTCCGATCAAATCATAGATCTCGTCAAGCTCTTTAATTTGCCGCAAACGGCATTAAAAATCTCTCAACGGTTTGAGAGAAATCAAGGATTAAAGTTTTGAAGTAAAAAAGAAAAGAAAAAGGAGATTGAGAGGGTGAGAGAGAGACCAGCGGGAGAGGAAGAGAATTGTGAGGCTCAAATGACTTTTTGGCCTTTAAAAGATGCTAATGATGGGCCCCACCAAAATTAATTTATTTTCCTTTTATTTTTGTACCACAATTAAATCATTTAATACTCAAACTATATATATAACCTACATAAAATATATCAAATAAAATGCATGAGGTGCAAATGAACCTAACTAAAATCCTTGTACACAACAATTCTGGTAGCAGATCCCACACGGGATTGCCCGACTCCAAAAAAATTAAAAAATGCCAAAATGACAACTATTGCATTTCAAAGAGTCCTAAACTCAATGAAACGCCTTAACCAACTCTCAGACACATCCGGCACACCCCACAGTGTTCGGCACGTAAAACGAAAAAAGACAAAAATGCCATTACAAAAACAGCAAATTTCAGAAAATGAAAAATGGCAAAAAACGAAAACATCACACAGATTTGAAAAATAATTTTCTTTCTCTCCAAATGTTATAAGATGGGACTCAAGTGTAATAACAATTTTCTTCTTTTAATTTTTGAAAGGATTTTAAAATTATGAAAATTTTATTTAACCCACTATCACATTTCTCTAAATCTTCTCATTTTGGGAGGATAGGAAGTGAGGGATTTGGAGGGATAAGATATCCCTCGAAAACTATCCAAATCCTTTTTTTTCTCTCCCCAAGGACAACACAAACACAAAAGTATCTAATCCTTTCTATTTTCCAAACCTATCAATCCAAATGAAGCATAAGTTCTAATTACAAAGATGGCTTCATGATGTTAGCCTTCAACCTGTAGATTTGGCAACGAAACCAACCAAAGTATGATATATAAAATTAAAATTTTGCTACATGCAAACATATCACGATTTCAAAAAAAAAAAAAACATAGTAGGAAATATAAGGGTACTTATTCAAACAAGACTGGTGTAAAATATGAAGAAAAAAGGTAAACAAACATTTGTAACAATCATAATTACCTAAATAACAAAGGTTGGACATCTAGTGACGATGTTACATTACTATCCAAATGCGATCCTGTCGAAGTTGAAGCGACATCCCGAGGTGTTGTGAGTTCAATTACTGTATATTCATCATTTTCATAATTTTGTTGAATAATAGATATCCCTTGCGACATTCTAATCCCTACTAATTCAATTACAACTTCTTTCATTGTAGGCCTTTTTCTCCCACTTAAGTTCAAGCATTTTCTTGCAAGATTAGCAACCCTCATGATCTCTTCTTTCACACCCTCTTTGGAAACTCGAGCATCAAGAATGTCAAGTAAATGGTTTTCCTTCATTGCCAATATGAAATATGTTGCCAAACTTCGCCGTTCGTCTGATCTGGTTAATGAGATTGGTTTTTGTCCGGTTAAAAGTTCAGCAAGAACTACTCCAAAGCTATAAACGTCACTTTTTTCTGTAAACTGGCTTGATTGGAAGTATTCTGGGTCCAAGTATCCAAAGGTCCCTTGTACTAGTGTGGTCATATGAGTTTGATCAATGGCAACTGTTTTTGAAGTTCCAAAATCCGACACTTTTGCTTTGAATTTTTCGTCCAGCAAAATGTTTGTAGATTTGATGTCTCGATGATAAATGGGCATAGAAGCTGCTGAATGCAGATAGGCAAGAGCTCCTGAAACTTCTGTAGCAATCCGAACACGAATATCCCAAGTAAGTGGAAACTCTTCATTTTGCTCATGGATATACTGGTAAAGGGTTCCATTGGGGATGTGTTCATAAATCAACAAGGGAACTTCTGCCTCCAAACAACACCCATGCAACTTAACCACATTCCTATGGTTAATTTGTGATAAAATAACAACCTCATTAATAAATTGTTGAAGGTTGTCTTCATCCACTATCTTGGACTTTTTAACTGCTATAATTCTACCATCAGTCAGCATTCCTTTGTATATAGTACCTTGCCCTCCTTGACCAAGGATTCGATTCTCATTAAAATGGTCAGTGGCCTTTTCCAATTCCTTTAAAGTAAACAACTTGCTTTTCTCAACATTACCTTCATCACCCGAAGATAATTGTTGTTGCAATAATAGACCGCCATTTCGTTTAAAGAATTTATCTTTAAGCATGAGTTCCTTTCTCCTCTTCACAAATTTATACAACCACCATGAAGCACCAAGTAGAAGTAGTATTCCAATTACACCTGTACTAATACCTACAAAGTTCAATTGGAAAAATGTTACCTTATTAACCAAAACATTGATGCTGGAATTTAATTCATGGCTCTATTTAAAACCCTTAAACTAACCTTGGTAAAAAATTAAAAGTTTACATTATTAAGTTTGAAAATTTTCAAAATTTAGGAAATTAAGAGTTTTCAGTTAAAGAGACTTATTTTAGAACATTTGAAAATTGAAAGAGAAATAATTTGGGAAGGAGGAAGTAGCTAATTTTCTTTCTCATTCTTCTTTAATATATTTTGGACCACATTTCTTTATTGAAGGACCAAATTAAATTTTTGGAAAAAAATAATGTTCTAGAATTAATGTCATGGTTCTGGTCTTAATTTGGTACAACAATTATCTTGACTCTGTTACAGTTGTTGGGATTTGTGTGCCCTAGCATAGCAAATTCTTGTTTGGATTGTAAAAATCATGGTTCCTTATCTGAATATTATTTTTTAGGCATTATACAATTTCTGAATGTAATATATTATTTTTTCGATTCATTATGGAATTAATTGTGTCCACTTGATTACAAGATATATTTATATATGTATGTAATGACAATTAATACAAGGTTATAAATAGTAATCATAAGTGGTTCAAAGTCAGTAATTATGGATGAACATTTAATTTAACTAAGACTTGAACCAAGTCCACGATGGGTTGAGATATATTACGGGAGCCGTTGTACGCAATTGCTCTCTATCACTGTCATAACTTTTGACTCTCAAGCATGAGAGAGGTAGAGACTCTTTTATTAATTAATAATTACTTTGATTTGTTCGGCGGATACTTCGGGATTCATAGACTGGCATTTGGGTAGTTATGTAATTAATAGTTAGAAGGTTATATTCTCAATATTTACATCAGTGCTACTTCTATTTATTCTGTATTGATTATGATTAATCACAAATTAACTTCGAAGGCCTTCATATGTTTTAGACAAAATGTTTTCTATATATTTATTTAGTAAATTATTATTTTTGTCAAACAAAGTTTTATTTTGATCAAGCCTTAAATAATCAAAGGTAACAAAATAATTATATTAATTATGTAGTCAGATTGATGGCTTTATAATCCGATAAATAATTATGCATAGAGGGGTCAAAATGCAACATTGACTTAGAGGTTATTTACTATTTAATTAGAGTCTAGGTAATTTTTTTTAGTAGAGTAGAAATTAATTTATGAATTAATTGAATTAGGTCCATGTTTTAATGGATCAGACCAATTATTAATTCATAGTAGCCAAGAAAATAGTAAGCCCAAGGATTCTCACCTATAGCCCAAGTTGATATTGGAAGGCTACTAGATTTAAGAAATCACGTGAATTTTTGAGATTGAGAAAAATATATTGTTTTTAATATTTATTTTATTTTGCCTATATATACATTGGTTCATGTATATTTTAGGTTACACCTTTGCAAAACAAAAAAATATATTTTCTCTCTTTAGATTTTTTATGGTTTGTTTTCTCATCTAAAGGAGGCTACCATAAGCCTTGCCTCTAAGGTCATTCATCAAGGTTTATGGTTGATTCTTAAAGGGAAGATCACTACCAAGAAGAAAAAGATCATAGGAGAAATGATATAGTTAAGGGATCTACAATAAGTGAGAACATTCACTTTAGAGGAAAGATTTAAAAGTTTACTCAAACCTTTAATGTAAGTTTTCAATATAATAATTGAATGATTCATCATCTTATTTTTTGCATAAAACTTGTCTCTATGTGATAAATCAAGATCTATGTATAAAAATCCCTCAAAAAGAATTTAAAACTTGTATTTTTCGAACAATGGTATTAGAGCTTGGTTTTATTCATGACCAGAGATTTTGCTTTTTATGAAAATCATCATTCATGGATCCAATTTATATATGCAAATATATATATTGATGTATGTTGATGTACGATTTAATATATTGATATATATTGATATATGATAATGATATATGTATAATTGTAAATGGATAATGATGTATTTTTAGGCCATAGATAAAGCTTATAGATTAAATGTAATTTTATCTTTGGTTGAATGTAATTAAACCTTTGATTTAGCCATTTGAAAGTTCAATGATATAATTTATTTATTTTGCATTGTATTTCATATGTATAATTAATTTTAAAGCCATGTAATCTTCATCAATGAGTACTATGAAGGTTCAAGAGTATTACAGAAGGTCTCGGGAATTTTCTGGAATTTTTTAGAATTTTTCTATAATTTTTTCATATTTTTTTGGGGCTTTATTTAATTTTTCTGCAATTTTCGGTAAGATTCTGGCGGCCAAAGCACTATCGGTGTCGACAGCAGCGATGGAATGAAAGAATAGGGATCTGGTGCGGGCACGGTACACTAGAGTACCGTGTGCTCAAATCCAAGACCATTGGATCAAGATAAGGCAGATGGATTGATATGGTGCAGCGCATTATCATGAAGAGCGCGCGTGGAACACACGCTGGGCACCAACACAGTTAGGCGTATGGCGGCATGTGCCATGCGCTGTAGAGCCCTCCAGGCGTGTGGCACACACCTGCTGACTCCCCAAGTGCGTGCCAATGTATAGGGACGCACTGCACACTACCATAGCTCGTGCCATTGCGTGGGGACGCATTGCACACTCCCCAAGCACGTGCCAGGGCATGGGGACGCACTGCTCACTCTCCGGGCACGTCCCACACGCTATTTCACCTCTCCAGGCACGTAAGGCCGTGCGATGGCGCGTGGGGCCGTGTTCTAGCCTCTTACAGGTGTTTACAAGCCTATGATGGACTCTCGTGCAATAATTAAAGTATTTAAATGTTAAAAGCTAAATCCATTTTATTTGCTTTAGTCTGTCATTTATTTATTTATGTGATGTATGAAATATATAATTGCGAATTAGTGTTATTCATGCATTGGATCCATGAAATTTATTTAAATGACTTGATTTATATTAATTAAATTATGAAAATTAATTGGATTTGATTACTTATTAATTAGAGGGCACTTAATGGGAAATGAAAAATTATTTTTGAAAATTGTTTTTACAAGTATGCCTTAAATTAAATATTAGTGAATCATTTAAAAGTCCAAATATTTTTTAAATTTAAGGATTAAAATCAAGGCGTTTTGCATGCATTATATCATGTAACTAAATGAATGGAAATCCTAATTTTATAAATGATTAAAAATTGAGTGGGAGTGGAGATTTTTATACATTACCCCATGGCCTTTGTTATTATAACCATTGTAATTAGATTTTTAAAAATAAGGTTCCACGCATGATTTAAAGAGTTTGAAATTACAAGAATGACCATCTCACGAAAATAAAATTATTAAATGTTCATTGCAGTTATATCTTTAAAAATAAGGCTCTACGCATGATTTAAAGAGTCTAAGCTTATAATGGAAATATATTTAATATTTTATTTTTCATTAGAGCATTAATAACGTTATACACTCAATCTAAAATCAATAGTGTTAGCTCCCCTAAGGAGTGGTTTATACGAGGTGATTTTAAAAAAGTTAAACATAATCGAGAATCATTTCATATACAGACTAAGCGATATGAAAATGATGAGTTTTTCTTGTCAATAGCAATAATGATCCGCCAACCTCATAAATTAGTGGCATATTGATTGTCTAATTTTTCATGCGACGTGGTTAATGGACCCACAATTAATTAAAATTATTAATTAATTTATTTTGTATGATTATTTTTATTCATTTTATTTATTGTATGAATGCTTTTATTTTCATATTTATCATAACTAGTCCATTCAATCCACTTGCAAACATACTAAAAGATAAATGATTAATTGGACCAAATTATATCGATTGGAAAAGGCAATTAGATATTGTACTCACATATGAGGGGTTTAATTTTGTGCTCACTACTCCCCGACCTTCTCCACCTTTGTCTGAGGATCCTCCTGAGGAGTATGAAGCCTTTAAGAAATGGAATAAAACAGATGAGATGACTAGGTGCTACATTCTTGTTTCCATCTCGAATGTGTTCCAAAGTCAACATCTTCATTATCTCACTTCTGTAGACATCATGCTTAACCTCAAGGAAATGTTTGGGCAAGTTGGTAAGAGTGCACACCAAAATGCTATGACAACTTGATGACCACCAAGATGGTCTAAGGTACCCCAGTTCAAGATCATACTTTAAAAATGATTGGTTTTCTAAATGAACTTGAGATCCTTGTATGCAACTTGGATGGTGAACTTCAGGTTGACATGATTATCGTCTCGTTGTCAGACTCATTCAACTCTTTTAAAGTTAATTATTCAATGAATAAGCTTAATTACACACTCGCTGAACTTCTGAATGAGTTGGTAACTTTTGAAGGGATAATCAAAAGTAAGGGTGCATCTATCAACTACATTCAGTTTGCTAGACCATCCACTTCTAGGCCCAAAAGGAGGTGCAAAAAGAAGAAGAAGGAGTGTGCCTAAACTGTGGTAGTGACAAATAAAGTGATCCAAAAGGAAAAAGGGAAAAAGAAATTACAGGTTGAAGGCGAAGGGAAATGTTTCCTTTGTGGTCAACTAAGTCACTGGAAACCTAATTGTCCAACACTTCGCACGTAAAGCAAAGGAAAAGATATATTCGTTATTAAGGCATACTATTTGGTTGAATCTATAGATTCCTGGTGCATAGATTCTGGAGCCACTAATCATGTTTGCAATTCTTAGTAGGGATTCCAAGAATCCAGAAGCCTCAATGAAGGAGAGACATACTTGCATATGGGATCTAATGCCAAGGTGGAAGCTAAATGTAATACCCCGTATTTTTAAAGAGTTTATTTAAATTAATTTTGTATTAGGTTAATTATTTAATGTGTAGATTTATTCACCTTTGAATTGTGTATGCTAAATTATTCAATTAATATTATTGGTTTGTACATGTAATATAGATTATATGCTCTATATGTTATAATTAGTTATGTTTTATATTAATTAATATTAGTTACTTAAAGTATTATATTGTAATGTATTAAGATGTA